ACATCGCATTACATAATCAGTCATTATATTTTGTCCAGGTGCTGGCACAGAATGCAATTATGTTTCAACATCCAAATATATGAATGGAAAAATGGTATATCACTATATTAAAAAAAAACAAAAAACAAGCCTACTCACTGTTACCTAAATTGCCAGGAAACATTAATTTTCTGTTGCTTATTTTATCATTCCTTGGAAAAGTACAAATTTACAAGTGTGCACTCACATCTACTTTTACTTAAGGAAAGACATTTCAACTCAGTAAAAGCAGAGATAGGATTGAGAGTCCTAAGTGCTGGATCGAATTCTCTTTCCAAAAAAAAAAAAATACCATCTCTGTATCTTTAATAGTTTTTAGACATTAAAAAGTCTCTGGAAAATACATAGGCAAATGAAACACAAGAAAAGATTTCTAAAATCTTAAGCCAAATATTAGCATCTCTACTTAAATCAATTCTGGGAGTCATTTACTCTGTTTTGATGTCTACATCTCAAAAAACCAATACAAAACTGGTGCACAATATTTTATCAGAATTTTTCAGACTTTAGAAAGACAAAATAGTGTATATGTACATACGACCTAACATGGTTAAGCAATGGTAAATATATATGACTGTAAATATATACGACCATGTAACTATAAATACAAAATATCTCCTTCAACCAATGACCTTAATCATACAAAATACAGCAAGAAATACAGATCTAAACACTATGCCAGAAGCACTTTACTACTAACATCTTTCCGTAGTCCTGCACTCACTCTACACACATTTCTCAAAGAAGATGGTTATCTAGTTTCCCCTAGGTAATTAAGAAGCAAAACTGTAAGAAAGGATTCAAGGAAGTGAAGGAATACAGGATGCACATCTCATTCCCTTTCCCAATCTGTGGTTTCTGATCTGTGGATTGGAAAACAGCACTCTGACAGCATTGTCAAATGACAATCTGGCACCAGCTCACTTTACTGAGTATTTATTGACAACCCACTAAGTACTATGCACTACAGAAGGTAGTAGAAATATAAATATAAATAAGACAAATCCCTACCTCTTAGGGGCTTACAGTCTAGCGGAGGTTATGGTAGATGGCAGGGTTAGACAGTTAATTACAAAACAGTGTGACACATTCAATTAAGAGTAGTTTGAAGAATAAAAGCAGTATAGCAGAAAGATTTGGGGAGTCAGGAAGGGTTTCATTAAGACAGTAACACCAGAGTAGTTTTGAGGAACAAGAAGTTTGCCAAACAACAGAAGTGATAGTAGAAATAAGCCCACCACACACACACATAAAAACATACACATGAAAGCACAAAAAAGAAAAGAAAAATTCTCAGGGTAAGTGGCAAATATGTCCAAAATATCTATCTATATTTAAACAGACTTAGCTCCTGAATCAAAGCATATACAACTTATTAAATTGTGTCCAGAAAAGGCAAATTTTAGGTTTTTTCCTCCTGGATAATTCATTTGGCATTTCCCTATTACATAATGAGATCTGACCAAAAAATAAACATTGTGAACCATTTTATTAGATCACAATGCAGCATATAACCAAGTGATATACCAAGAGATTTTCACCTTATTTCAGAGAACAAGCTATCAGAAAAACATATTAGGAATTTTTTTCCAGGTCATCCTAATAGTACAAAGTAAATAAATGAACAAGCCATATCAGCATGACTTGTCATGAGAGAGGAGTTTTAAGAGTTTATTTAAAAAAAAAGCCAAACAGAAGAACTAAAGTAACAAGAAAAAATATATGAAGTATTCAAATCGAAGGAAAGGGTCAATGAACAAAAACCAAGGTAAAAATTATAAAATAATTTTTAAACCCTTATGTCCATTCTATTTCTTTTCAAAGACAGACTTTCTACGATTTTCGTACACAGCTGTTCTTAAAAAAATCTAGTGAAAACCAAAAGGGAATTCAATTCCTTTAAGTATCACAAGCAGAAATCATCCTTAGTAAGAATAGTCACCTGATCATCATCCAGAATGACTCCTCTCATAGCACTAGATCCCTGATATCAATACTGTATGTAACTCTATTCAAACATTACAGTGTAACTCAGATTAACTCTGCCTGTAAAACTGCCCTACCCAAGTAAGTACCTTGGTTTCTTTTGCTTCTTTGTGTTACAAAATCCACTAGAGGTCTAGGTAGCAAATAAAATCTTAGTAGTGTCTTCTAACGAAGACTATCACTATTTGCATAAGTTGTCCTCAAACAACTATTCAAGCAAGCACATGGAAAGTTTGCTTTTATGTAATCATAACAGAATGAACTTTCTACAGTTAAAAAAAATTAAGACAAAAAATGCTATTTAACATTGCTTTTAAAGAGCAAAAAAGTTAACTTTTTACTAGTCTATTAATGTCTACTCATTTCATACATAGGCACGAAGCATACCTTTTCCTTATTATCAGAAAATCTTATGAAGCAAATTTGTCACTAAAAAGGGTAAAACTAACTTCCCACAGGTTGTGAACAATTCTGTGAGGGTCTTTAAAAATACAAGCACTTTTAATAGCAATATCTATGAAGAGATAAAAACCAAAACAACTGGGTTAGAAGTACTTCTAATGAAATCTACTCATAAAATAAAGTACTTATTTACTTTGGAACAAACAGAATTTGCAAGTTATAACTATAAAGTATCTCTCAAAAATCGAAAAATAAATTAAACATCCAAGGTTATTAAGTAAAAACATAGGTAATTAGTTATCTTGGGGAGGAATAGTCTGCGTTTTATTTTATCATCAAGATCAAGTACTTTTCAAGTAAAAGGGATATAAGTCATTCATACATTTTGCCCTCTATTTCCCACCATATAAATTCACTTTAAAACGAAAGTATTACAGAAACTGAAAATTTGTAAAAGGCTGTATTTGTTTGGTTAAACATACAGGCATTTTTCATTCCCCAAGAGTATCAGACTAGGTTACAGATATCTCTACCCAGTATACTTAAAATAAAAGGGTTCTGCCTACAAATGATGCTTACACTAATATATTTTTATTGATAAAGCATTAATTAGTATGCAAAAATGTGAAAGTTTCTCAGTTCCTCTCTAAAACACGAAGTATTCACAGAAGTCACTGCAACTGCCCCCAGGAAAGAATGAGAGAAAACTAAACTTTTTAAAATTAAATGAGGATCTTATAAAGAAGCGGAGCAGTTTTGCCTTTTTACATGAATTTTGTATTGTTCAACGTACAAAGCGTACTAAAGATCTTGATCCACTAAGAAGTGTTTCAATGAAGAGATCAGAATGCAGACATCTAACCATTTGAATGTACTTGAGTAGACATTTAACCATTTCAGTCCACTGTGATTCTTAACAGTTCCTTTACATCTAGGATAAGATTATCTCCCATAATTACAAAAAGGGTATGTTCACTGACGTTTGGGAAACAAATATTGTGAAACATAGCAAGTATTCCTAACAATTCAACATAAACCTGGTAATGTAAATACGTAGATACTTTCAAATCAAAATGTGCACTTATTCTAGAAGTCTAGAAATTCCTAATATCAAGCATGACAGAAAATGTGTTCAACTTTGAACAAACTTCAAGTATGGCCTCTACTTAACAGATTTTGTTAACTCAGAGCCTAGCATTTCACCAAGAATCTAAGAGTTGATATCAGTGTATACTTAATGTTCTTATATTAGAAACCATCCTGAAGATTAAGGAGTAGGATTCTTTGACCAAGAGTTTTATGAAAATAAAACTGTTGCATTCAGTCTGGATGTTGAAAAGTGAAGGCATCTCCTAGGATTCAAAGGAAGTTGATGTTTGGGTTCCTTCCGAGAGGGTGGTACCCGCACGTTAAGACTTTTATGGTGGTAATACCGTACTCACAGGGCCTGAAATAAAATGCGAATTCTAAAACCTAGGAAATGCTTTTATTAAAAAGAGAAAACAAAAAACCTACAACTCGCATTCAAAAAGGTCCAGTCACCAACAGTTACAAGCTCTCTCTCCTCGACGGACACAGAGCCTCAGCTAAGAACTAGGAGGGCCTCTTTTAAGACTACTCATTTCTTCCGTAAAACTTTTAAGTTCGACTCAAGACAGCAAAAGGTGGCGAGGCCCCGGCGGAAGTAGAAACCCAGGGCTAGCAACTTCACAAACAGAAACGTCTCGGGTTCCTCCGCCGCCCCAGGACTATCCGGACTGTCTCTATCACACCACGGAAGCTTCACCCTCCGGGTGCGGTGGCAGAGGAAGCATCACAGTTTGCACTCCTCCTGCCACCATCCAAAGCCTTCGGTATCCCAAGGCCTGGAGGCGCCTGAGGCCCGTTAGCCAGTCCAGTGTTCCTCATCTTTTACATACACACATACATATATATATATATACATACACATACATACACACACACACACACACGCACACACACAAGTTGCAGGTGATGTTTGTGTACTGAGAGAATGTGAACAGCCAGGGACCGCGGCAGCTGATGGGAAGGCGGGGGTGCCGTCTAAAGCGGGCCCGGGCTCCTTGGCCACCGCCGCTGCCGCCTTCTCTTCTTCCCCAGGAAGCGGCGCGACGGAGGCTCCTCGGTGCTGGCGGGAGCCCGTGAGAGCGGAGTCTGGGGGAAGCCCCAGCGCCCGCCGAAGGGACCGGGCCTAGGATTCAGAGCTGCAGCTGCAGCGACCCGAGTACAGCGACGCTTTACGTCCGGTCCACCACCCTCCCCATACACACCCCCTCCCTCCCTCCACCGCCGCCACCCCCCCTCCCCGCCCGCTCCACTCTCCCTCTCTCGATTGGAGCCGAGACAAAAGCAACGGGAAGCGGCGGGCCGGGACGCTGCCCGCAGACCCCAGGCGCGACCGGACCGGCCCCGAGGCATTCCCCTGCCTTGCGGGGGCCCCGAATCCGCCGCCCCCGCCGCGCGCCCCGCCGCCAGACTTCCGAAAATTTGCCAAAAACTCACCGCATGAATTTTCTTGTCCCGCGGATCCAAGATGGCGACGTATCCACCGCAGAGGCTGCTGGGAGCAAGACCTTTACCCTCTGACCCCCACCGTGACCCCCGTCGTTCCGGCTTCCCTCAAGGCGGCGGCGGAAGGTGGGAGCGGCGACTGCCTACGGGACAGGGTTGGGGGTGGGTAGACCGCTTCCCGCGCGTTGGACAGTAGGTGGGGAGAGGCGATTCACTCCATCACCTCCCCCTCGGCGGCCTCCACCCTGTCTCGCACCAACTCACCCGGAGGCTTGTAGCTTCTCCGCGGCCGTTATAACGAGCGGGGCCTTTGCGGCCTCTACAGTTCCCCTGGGGCAGGGTTGCTTCACACTGGGCACCGGCACTGGGTGCGAGGTGGGCCGCGGGGTCCAGGGGCGGGGAATGGTGAGGTGGCATGGGTCCGCCCTCCCTGGGGATGCCGAGCGTGTTTGTGTTTGGGTCCGACACCCCGCCCCCCCCCCCAACGTCAGCCTGGAACGGGGGCCTGCCTTCCTCCCAGCACCTGAAGCGAATTCATGGCTGTCCCCCTTTCCTCCCTCAGCCCCCGCAACCTCCGGTGCTCGTGCGCGCGTTTCCAGAGACCGGCAGCACGTCACCATCACCTCCTGAGAAGTGAGTTCCCCTCTGCCGATACCATTGGTGTTTTCTACTCACCACCCTTCTTTTTTCTTTTTAACTTGGTGGGAGGGAGCATATTGGGGAGCAGGTTTTTAAAGCGCTTCTGGGTGAGCTTGTGCCAGCAGAGTTAGATTTTGTAGCACGTAAGCTTGAGTGACCGGCTGGGCTGTCTACAAGACCGTTTGAAATTACGGTGGTTTGGGTGGAAACTTCAGGGGAAGGACAAGTCTCAGCTTTCCAGAAAAACAATTGTCTCTCAAAGTGAAATGAAATTTTTTTCTTTGAAATAATAAATCTCTCTCTATTCCTTTGTATGTTGATAAACTCTTCCCTTTTTGTTACCACTCGACATTTTTGGACTTAAAATGAGCCTCTGCATGTCTGTTTGGGAGTTGTGTAGTTTCGTAAAGTGAAAATTGTTATTTCTGTCTATTTGAATAATAGAATTCATTAAAGTACAATTCATTTGGAGTCAAGTTTCTACTTCGTTTCTTTTGTACAATTACCATTTCCTCCCCCCCCCCAAACTCACTGTAATCCAATTTAAAATTTATCATTGAAGGGCAAAGGGCATCTGTCCGTCAGGAAGACAAATAAGCATACTATAAAACAAAAGGTGACTCGTGTTTACGGAATACAAGGTACTTTGAATTAGTAGAGCCTGTGTAAATTTATTTAAACTCCGAATGGTGCTGATGTAGCCAGTAGAAAATGTTTGCCTGGTTACTCATTTCATTAAACATTCTGCTTCACTGTGTTTTTTACTCCAGAAAAATTCAGAGGAGTAACACTTTATATTTTTTTCTGTCCCTTTTGCCTCCCTTTCCCCCAACAGTTCTTTCCTGCTTCTTAAGCTTTCTCTTCTACTATGTAAGATGGTGTGTTAAAAGGCTGGTTGCACCTCTGTTCATACACATAGGTATATCTATATCTATCTATCTATATAGATAGATAGATCGATAGATAGATATCTGTGTTTTACTGAGCATTTTAACCTATTAATAACATGAAAGTATAACTATTAATATTTGGAATCACAAGATGGAATAATAAAAATGGGATATGCTGATACGTGTATAGTAACAAGTTTTACTTACCGTTTAATCTATTAGTTTGACTCATCTAGAGGACTTTGTTAAGACCAAAAGATGTACCTTATTCTTAACATCCCTATATTTACTCAAAAAAAGCACAAGTTTTTTTTTGAGTAAAACATAAACATTGGTAAAATTGGAGAAATCACTTCCTGGAGGGGACAGGTCTAATTGGACATTTTGTTACCTTGGATATCTTACTGAAAGAGAGAAGACAACAAACATTTTCAAAGTAAATGTGTAGCATAGGAGCATTAGGAAAAAACACACTGATACTATTGCTTTCTTGAGAAGACTGTTTAGGATACATTTACTTTAAGTCTTGTTGGATAACAAGTTTTAAATTGTCTTATTACTGGTGTCCAATCTGTTATAAATTTGTAAAACTTGTTTAATACCTACCTCAGAGGTTGGTTCTAGGTACTCAGTGAGCTAACATTTGTTAACAGGCTTATAGTAAGCACTCTGATACATTTTTTTATACTGCCCTATTGGAAGAAAAAGTTCATTTTTATAGCTGATATTGATCGTATTTGCCCACTTGGTAGTTTTTATTGTTATTATTCACTTTGATGGATTTTCTTAGTTTTACTGAAAAACAGTCCATACCCTGTATGTGTTTTGTGTGTTTTTGAAATGTGCATAAGGTAAATTCCTTATGCACCTCATAGAAAAACTACTGATTTCAATTGAGAGAAAAATTCCTTATTAGGGGAAAAATGAGTTTATAAATAACTAGTTGTAGGAAAGGAGGGCCTCACATTTTTTAAAAGTTGTAGACAATACTGAAAATCTTACCACGGTAAGGGATAAAAAGGACAGGTATCTAAAATTTAACAGGTACTGAAAGAGAACATTTGGATCCAGACTGTCCTCCCATAAACAGTATCAGCAGTTCGCTCACTTGCTGAGGCATGAAACTAGGAATCTTCTGTGATTCCTTAAATTCTAGGTCCAACTCCTCATCCAGTACCATCAGCTCTTCCTTGTGTGTTTTCTGAACTCAGCCACTTCTCATCACCTCTCATGCCACCACCCTGTCCAAGATACCATTACCTCTTGCACAGCAATATCCACACTTATCCCTCTGCTTCCTCTTTTCCCTGTGCCCCTTCAAACCATTCTCTACATACCAGCCAGAGTGATCATTTTTAAAAGTTCATAAGACTACTTCGCTCCCTTGTTTAAAATCCTCCAAAAGCATCCCTTAGAATAGAATAAAATCCAGCTTTCTTACCATGGCTTTTAAAACTGCATAATCTGCCTCCTGCCCTCCTCTCTACAACTTCATTTTATTCTTACCCAGCCTTCCTTTGTTTCTGTCATGTACCAAGCTTTTCCCAGTCTGTAGCAAAGACTATTAGTTGTCCCCTAAAATTTCTGTTTTTTTTTTTTTTTTTCATAATAACAGATGTGGGCACTAGCTGTCCAGAGTAAAGACTATATTTTCCAGCCTCCCTGTAGCTGTATGGTAGTTCTGGCCAATGGGATGTAAGCAGATAGGTCATGTGACACTCTTCCAGAACCATCCTTAAAAGACAGCTGTTGCACACCTTCAGTCCTTTGCTTCTTTTCCTTTTATATCCTGCATCCTGAAAGAGCTGCCAGTTTGGGCCATGTGCAAGTTCCCCCATCCTAGGGATGGCAAAACTTGAAGCTCGCAGAAACCTGGGGCCTTGAGACCTTTGTGGAGTACCATACCAGCCCTGAATTCCTTACATTCAGATTTTGATGTAAGGAAAAAGTAAACTATCTTATTAAAGCTACTATTTAGGGTCTCTTGTTCTCAACTGAACTTAATTTTAGCTGATACTGCATCCCAGGACCTTTGCCCTTACTATTTTTTTTTTCCATGAGATATGCTTTCTCTATGTCTATATATGACTAACGTTCTCATCCTTCAGGTCTTAACTCAGATATCATCTCTAAAATGCTTTCCCTGGTCACCATATCTAAAGCAGCTCCTTTTTGCATTTATTCTGTCTCATGACCCTCTGTTTTCTTAATAGCATTTATAATTTGTCATTTTTATTTATTATGTTTCCCTTCACACTACTAAATACGTACGTTCCATGAGAGCAGGGACTATGTTTGTTTTGTTCACTGCTTTATCCACACACATGGTACACATTAGATAAGTACCGTTACATGTGTGAGACAGTGAATAAATGAACCATTAAACTAATGAAATAGAGCCTTATCCAAGATTCGGTAGACTTCTTAAGTAAATGTCTTGAAAGTTTTCCTTCAACACATAATGTATAAAATCCAAGCTAAGAAGTAGCTAGGAAAAATAGAGCTAAACTAATGGAATAAATATGCCTTGCTTCCAGCTCTTGATAATGAAGATATGTACCTTTTTCTGGGAAAATTACAAGGTTATTAAGAAAAAAAAACGTAATTGGTGAGGCAGAATGGCAAATCGAAAGAGTGCTACAATATAATATCTAGGGCAGAAATTCCCACTAAATAGTAGCCTGATTTATTATATAACTTACTGGACCTCAGATTTGTCATCTAAAACATATGTAAGAATCTTAAGCTTTGAATGGTAATATAAAAGTTTAATAGTAAGTCTGTATTAGGAGTGACATAACATGTTACACATTAATTTGGTCTTCAGGTGTTAACAAGTGATTATGTCTTGATCATACTGGCAAGGGTTCAGAGAAACAGCTTATACTACTGAGTATAAATTGGCACATTTCTAGGTGCAGTTTGGCAATATACATCAAAAGCCTTGAGCATGAGCATTTGACAGGGCAATTCCTCTTCTAGAAATGTGTTATAAGAATATGTGGAACAATTTTATTGCAAGAGGGTTCATTACTGCATTGTTTACTAGAGTATTGGTTAAATAAATTAAGCTACATCCATACAATAGAATAGTATTCAGCCTTTAAAAATGAGGTGGAGAAAATGTTATCAACATGGTATATTAAGTGTGAAGAAGGTTTTAAAATATAATACCAATTTTGTAAAAATCTACAAGTTTACAAAGGACCAACAGGATATATTATCAAAGTATTAATTCAACCTTGTAGAAATAACTATTACAATTATTTTTATTTCATTATTTCTATTTCATAGTTTTTAATTTTCATAGAATAAAAATTTTTAATACTAATGAAAAGGTTACCTTTATCTTTAAAGAAACAAGCAGATAATTTTGGGAAATAGTACCACGTACTCAGTTGCCAAGCCTGATATCTTTCATTCTTTTTTCTTCCCTACACCCCACAACTAATTATTAATTCTTGTATGCTTTACTTTCTAAATATGTCTAGTATCCTCCCTTAATCTGGTCTTTCTTCATTAAGTTTTACCTCTTTCCAGTCTACCACCAGATTCTATAGTGCACATCTTAGGAGACTCCCCTGCATAAAATCTTTATAATGATGTCTCATCACCTACAAGGTAAAAGTGCAAGCTCCTACTCATGAGATAGAAAGACCTCGCTATAACACCTTTCTACATTTGCAACCTCAGGTGCTAGTTGTGGTTCTATCCCAATACTCCACGCTGCTTTATACTTCATGCCCTGGCAATTGTCTTCACTCTGCCTTGAGTGACTCCTGCTCCCCGCAAAATGTCTTAACTTTCTCTCTAGTTTTTTATGCTGGTTTTAAAAAAATATGTCCACAAATTCTTTGATATTTTTATTCCTTAAGAGGTGGAACTTTATTCACCTGCCTTTGAGTGTGGGTTGGACTTTGTGACTTTTTTCTAATTGAATAAGGTGGAAGTGACAGTGACTCTGAGACCAGGTCATAAAAGACTTTGGGACTTCCTCATGCATACTCTTGAATCACTCTGAGGGAAGCCAGCTGTCTTGTCATTGGACATTCAGGCAGCCTATATTGATAAGTCTATATGCCAGCGGTTCTCAACCTGTGGGTC